AGAGGGAGAGGTGGGAGACGGACGCAGGGGAGAGGTGGGAGACGGAGGGAGGGGAGAGGAGATCGTATAATTATAAAAATATTAATAAAAACTTAAAAATAAATAATGTAAAAATTTAAATATAAAATAATTTTTATTTAAAAGGTTGACATGGCATTTGACATGGTATTTAGATGATGTGTACATATACACATTAACTACAGTACCAAAATCCCTCATTTATCAAGAGTACAGTAGCAATTCCCTTATTTTTATCATGAGTTTGCACCAAGTCACTCAAGCCAATCCACTTTGCCACCTACACTTGAATGGATGGGCCAAAACGACAAAATGGATTGTGGAAAAAAGACTAGGACAAGGTGAAAGTAAAGAAGGGTAGAGAAAAGTATATAAAGTTTCTACTTTCTAGTAAAATCTTAAAATTAAAATTAAAAAACTTTGTTTTTATCTTCAAAAATGAATTGAATCATTTTAATTCTTTTATCCAAATAGAATTCATTTTCAAATTTAAATTTGAAAAAAATCTAAAAACTTACAATTAACCTAAACGGACTTAACTTTCTTGGAAAAAAAAAAGTTTTCGGTGCTTATACGCCTTTATTAGTTACTACTGTGTTTCTGAAATTTGAGTTAAAAAAAAGTTGGGAAAAGTAAGAATGAGATTCATATGGATTCTTGTTTGCAGATGCAGGCCATGTTGCTCAATTTAGTTCTTGCTTCCTTTGTCTTCTTGAGTTCTATCAAAGATGGTAATGCAGGAATCACTAGCTCTTACATTCGGTCAGCGTTCCCAGCAGTTGACATGCCCGTCGATCATGAAGTATTTGCAGTTCCAAAGGGTTATAACGCACCACAGCAAGTAAGTCTTTCAAAAATAACAAGGTTGATTTTATTATCTATTCGTTCATAATATTATTTAATGAAACTCTGCTGCATTGATTAATTCCACGTACTGTAGGTGCACCTCACGCAAGGTGACTATGATGGAAAAGCAGTAATCATCTCATGGGTGACACCAGATGAACCAGGGTCCAGCCATGTACAATATGGCACATCAAAGAAGAACTATAAAACTAGTGCGGAAGGCACAGTTGCAAACTACACTTTCTATAACTACAAGTCTGGCTACATTCATCATTGTCATGTTGATGGCCTTGAGGTAATTGTTGGTCAAATTAGGAGAGTAGAATTGTCATCACTGGCATTGTATTTGCAATGTCAAAAGTAAAATAAAATCAGTTGAGAAATGAATTCTATATAGAACAAAACTAAAATATATTATTCTAAGTGTTGTAGGTGTTGTTTTTATAAGTTTCACTTTACTAATATGCATAATAAAGGATTTCATTATATGTTTATGTATATTATTAAGATAAAACTCTGATTAAAGAATAGTATACATATAAATTTTATCCTATACAATATGATTTGGTTTTTTCAAATATTCACTTATGTATGTAAAATGTATTCTTTTAGTTTATTCAACGATTTTCCCATTTCAGTATAACACAAAATACTACTACAAAATTGGAAGTGGTGATTCTGCTCGAGAATTTTGGTTCGAAACACCTCCGAAAGTTGGGCCAGATACTCCCTACAAATTTGGGATCATTGGTAAGTTGTGTATGAGGATTTCCTTTTGGCTTTATCAGCCATGGTGTTTTTTTTTGTGTGGCTAGCTCTTATGAATGAATAATTGCCAGGTGACTTGGGGCAAACGTTTAATTCTCTTTCGACCCTTGAGCATTACTTGGAGAGTGGAGGACAGGCTGTGTTGTATGTCGGAGATCTTTCTTATTCTGATGAGCACGACGCGGAGGATAATGGTTTACGTTGGGATACATGGGGGCGATTTGCTGAAAAGAGTGCAGCATATCAGCCTTGGATGTGGAATGTCGGAAATCACGAAGTAGAGTTTTTGCCTGAAGTGGTACACTACTAACTTAGTAACTTATGCTGAGAATTAAACTTGATATATATTCTGTTGCAATATTTAATGTTAATGTTGTTGGTGCAGGGAGAAGTTATTCCTTTCAAAAACTATCTTTACCGATATACAACTCCTTATAAGGCCTCCAATAGCAGCAGCCCCCTCTGGTATGCAGTCAGGCGTGCCTCTGCTCACATAATTGTACTATCCAGCTATTCGCCATTTGGTAACTAATCTCCAATTCATATTCTTTGCATGTTGAGTTTTAATTTATATGGTATGTTTTTTTATAATAGTGATGTTTGATGATGATAACAGTCAAGTACACGCCTCAATACATATGGCTTCAAGAAGAGCTGGCGCGGGTTGATAGAAAGAAGACACCATGGCTCTTTGTGATCATGCACAAGCCCCTCTACAACAGCAATGTGGCCCACTTTATGGAGGGTGAAGCCATGCGATCAGTTTTTGAGAGCTGGTTCGTCAAATACAAAGTTGACGTCATCTTTGCCGGACATGTCCATGCTTATGAAAGATCAGTATGTTTATCTTTTTCACTTTCTATGCTCATCTTCATACATTTGACCATGTCACAGTGTCAGTGGATTAATAAATATTGTCATGTGTTGAATTTTCGTGTCCTGCTTTTCAGTACCGATACTCCAATATAGACTACAACGTAACAAGCGGTAGAAGGTACCCTGTACCTGACAAATCAGCACCTATTTACATAACAATCGGAGATGGAGGAAATCTAGAAGGTCTTGCCTCAAGGTAAATTAAACTAATCATTTTCTCAAGTGTCTATTTAATCTTTATGAAAATGAGGTTAATATCCATATATGATGTAGGTTTTAATTGTATTTGTATGGGTTGGTGGTGCAGTTACTATGATCCACAGCCAGAATATTCTGCATTTAGAGAAGCCAGCTATGGACACGCGACACTGGAGATAAAAAATAGGACCCATGCTATCTATCACTGGTATCGCAATGATGATGGCAACAAAGTAGCAGCTGACTCTTTAATACTGCATAACCAGTATTGGTACGTACTTCACTCCACAGGGAAAAATATGTTATTATCTTGCTGTTATGATTTATATGATGAAAATATGACATTGCACTTGCACAAATGTCATGTATAAATCAACGACTTTTGATATATTATTCGTTCAGAGGGTAATTCAAACATGTTGAGTTCTTTGTGATACAGGAAGCAATCGGGGATGGAAACAGAATGAGAGTTACTGATGAGAAGTTGCCAGCATTTAGCTAGTAGGAACTTGAAGCACTCTGTAATTTGGTGTTTCGAATATGTAGTTCTATATTCTCCGAGTTTGCCAAATGAAGGTCGTAAGAAATGGTGCTGTGTACTTGACTTCTATGCTAGTATTCCACGACGATAATAAATATTAAATAAACTTTCTTTTAGCAGGAGAAAAAAAAAATTGAGATCAACATATTAATTATCTGTTCGTATCTATTTGTAATTTTTTAAGCGTGAATTATTATGCTGCAATTTGCGTGATTCAGTTGGTATTATTATGAACAGACACATCCATTCATAAATTATTAGGGCATAAATTTAATGTTTTTTTCACAATAACTATCATTAGAGTTAAACTGTATCCATTTGAACGATGATGTATGTACGTGTGAACATATGATAAAAACAATTATACATCCAATAATTTGTGATTTACTTGGTATTAATTATTTGTTCATATCTATATATTTATAAAGACATTTTTTCTTCTTTAAGTTTTTTTTTTTCAATGTGTCTCCAAAAATACTATTAAAAACCTATACAATACGATTACGATGTGTTATTATAAAAATAAGGGAGTTGCTACGCACCCTCAAAAATGAAAGGGTTTTAATACATTTTTCTATGTAAACTCATAAAAATTTTTAAAAAAATTAATTTAATTATAAAATAAATAATCTAAATTATATTTATAAAATAAAAAGTAAGATAAAATTAGAGATTAAAATTATAAGTTTTCAATAATATTATAAAATATTAAAGAAAAAGAAAAAATTAATAAATAGTAGAAATAAAAAGTTATTAAAATTACAATATAGAAATTCAAAAATTTAAGACAAAAAGACAAAAAATATACTTAAAAAATTATTAAAATTAAACTATTTAAATATATAATAATATTATTCCAAATAAATTAGAATATATAAAATAAAAAAAATGACTAAATAATTTAAAAATTGAAAGAATAAAATATCATAAATATCATTTAAATAAATTACTAAAAATATAAAATATAAAAAGTTGTACCAGTACCCTCTCAAATAAGATGAGTATCATAAAATTTCTCTAAAAATAAAATATTAGAAGCAATGGTAAAAGTACTAAATATATTTTTTTTAGGGGAAAAAAAGTACTAAATATATTAGAATTTGATTAAATATATTAGAATTTAATCAAAAGTACTAAATATATTAGAATTTGATTAAAACATACGATCGATAATGTAAAGGAATAATATCATCACCCAGTAATTAAATATCATGTATCATAAAATATTTGACTTTTATAATAATTATTTTAAATGTTACAAGCGAGTTATCTATTATGGATTGAACGTGTACATATATTTACCCAATCAAAATTAAATTCAAAATATCATACCATCTAAATTCAAAATAATAACTATTATCATTATTTCTGTATATTGCTAGTATTTTATTGTTTGTATCTGTAGTGTGCCAAAATGGATGAGTGGCATGCTAAAAGCCAATAGTTCACTAATTCCTTACATGATCAGAACAATGCACTTACACACTGGCCAAGATACATGAATCAGATGGATAAGGTATTTAAATGTTTATATGAATTTAAATATTATCATATTAAATTTTTTTATATTTTCCACAAATAAAACATATAACATAAAATGAATTATTATGTTTTAAATAATTAAAACACATATAATATAGCGTATTCAATGTGCACATAAACACACTAGAAAAACACTTTTTAAGTGAGTTTTTTCCTAACTAAAAAAAGAAAATGTATATTTGTTTTCAAAAGTATAATAAGCTTAAAATATAATATATTTATGAATAAATCAAGTGTGAATATATACAAATTTGTAGAGTGTTAACCACATATTTTCTAACACTTTTATTAGAAATTTATGAGTGAAATTCATTGAATAACAAAAATAAAATTTTAATTTCTATACATTATCATACAAAATTTTATATTATAAACCGATAAAAAAAATTAAATTATTGTTAACTTGACATTTAAAATAAGATTACCGCGTATCTAATTTACATATTTACTGGTATATAATAAATGATTCAGTTTTTACAATAATGGTGTAAAAAGAAAAAGGTTTTACAATTATAATTACGGTATTTTTGTTTTGTTTGAAAGGAATAATTAGCATATCTAATTTAGATATTTAGTGATTAATTAATTATGGATGGTGAAAATAGGGTTACAATACATGATCCATCACGTGGATGAAATGATTGAGATTGGAGAAGAAAGAGAAGGCGACAAAGCATGGGGGGCATGCATTGAAATGAATGAATGAATGCACCAACCAACCTCTTCCCTTTATAATCAAGCAATTGAGTTGTCTTCCTCTCTTCAATCTGGTTGCCCTATCTTCTTCGCAAATGCTTCATTCCAACTGCAAGGTAAGCCTCTCTCTCCCTCTAATTTATCACTATGCCCGCAACTAACGGAAGAGAATACATTATACAACATGCTTCGTTTTGATTTATCAATACTCGTTCCTTTATTACTTGTTACACTTGTTCTACTCTGATGATGGGATCTCGCTTCAACTTCTGTCATAGATAGGTCAAAGCCAACGTTGTTGCATACTTCACTAAACATTTTTCTTATATTTTTTTAAATCTCGGATTTCGACCCGTTAACCTGACTCCGCCATACCATACCATACCATACCATACACTCGCCTGTTTTTGATCGTAAAGGATGCATGATGGATTGTTATCAGTGGGTGGAGATGTTCAAAAATCAAACGGGAATTAGGATTTGACTTGTGCAACTTCTCCTGTGTTATGATTCGATTGGATTTCCATTTATGTGCAAAATGTTTGCTCATGCTTTAAATTGTTTTCCCTTGAATCACTAGGTCGACTTAGTGGTTGAGCTGGAGATAGTAGATATAAGGTCTAAATTTGGACATTGTTGCTGTCATTGTAATTCCTACGGATCAGGAAAAAAATTTGATTGCCCGTTTAGACATCATATTCGGTGGATTCACACATGGAGAGAGCAAAGCTAATATGAGCGTGAGAATCTTTTTTAATACTGAAAAATGTAACCATAAATCAGTGAGAGAACATTGGGATAGGACAATGGAGATTTACCTTGAAATAAGTCATTTCGATTTTGATTACATAAAAAATTGTAGCATATTGTTTGTATAGAATGAATGAAATTCATTGGGATTCTTAAATGCAGAGGATTAGGACTCTGTAGGTTAATAAAGTCAACACTCATACCGCTGGAAAGAAGGATGCAGACCATGTTGCTTAATTTTGTTCTTGCTTTCTTTGTCTTCTCGAGTTCTATCAGAGATGGGAGTGCAGGGATCACTAGCTCATTCATTCGGGCAGAGTGGCCAGCAGTTGACATCCCCCTTGGTCATGAAGCATTTGCAGTTCCAAAGGGTCATAATGCACCTCAACAAGTAAGTCTTACAAGAATAACAAAGTTGAATTTATTATCTATTCGCCAATAGTATTTAATGAAACTCGGATAAGGATCCTACTTCTCGGCAACCAAATTGGACATGTGAAGCAGTTTCAAATTCTACAGCTATTCTTTTATTCAATGAAGCTTTGCTGCATTGATTAATTCCACTTTAGGTGCACATCACACAAGGTGATTATGATGGAAGAGCAGTAATCATCTCATGGGTGACCCCAGATGAACCAGGACCCAACCATGTACAATACGGCACATCAGAGAATACATTTCAAAGTAGTGCTGAAGCCACAGTAACAAACTATACTTTCTACAAATACAAGTCTGGCTACATTCACCATTGTCTTATTGAAGGGCTTGAGGTAATTGTTGATCAAATTACGGCAGTAGAATTGTCTTTATTGGCACTATATTTGCAATATTAAAAATAAAATCTATTGATAAGTGAACTCTAATGCAGGATATATAATATGTTATCATTTTTTCAAATAATCATACATGCTTGTATAATTCTCATCTTGCTGGGTAGAATGTGTTCATTTAGTTGATTAATTGATTTCCCCATTTCAGTATAAGACTAAATACTACTACAGAATTGGAAGTGGTGATTCTTCTCGAGAATTTTGGTTTGAAACACCTCCAAAAGTTGAGCCAGATGCTCCCTACAAATTTGGAGTCATTGGTAAGTTGTCTGTTTTCCCACGTTTGTTCTACTAGAAATTATATTTTTGTATCTGTAATTGTAGACTCTTTCTATTTTTAATTCACAAAGTGTCTATCAGAATTTCCTTTTGCTTTGATTTCCCATAATTTTTAATTTTTCTCACAAATGGATCATTGCATAAACATTGCAGGTGATTTGGGCCAAACATTTAATTCACTTTCCACCCTTGAGCATTATATACAGAGTGGAGCACAGACTGTCCTGTTTGTTGGAGATCTTTCTTATGCTGATAGGTACAAGTACAATGATGTTGGTTTACGGTGGGATACTTGGGGCCGATTTGTTGAAAGGAGTACAGCATATCATCCATGGATATGGTCTGCTGGAAATCACGAAGTAGATTATATGCCTTACATGGTAATGCACTAACCTGAATGTGGCATGTGTCTTAGTTATTCTTGTTTGTACTAAATCATCTATCATCTATAGAACGAAATGAACTCATTATTTCGTGGACCAATAAAATAATAAACAACCATCATGGTTTTAGCTTTCCCTTTTCTCTTTTTGGAATTGGAAAGTATAAGAGACATGTGCACTTTTTATTCTTCTTAACTACTATGTATAGAACAGAATGGTTTATTCCTTTTATTGGTTTATGCATGCTCATCTGCAAAATATGACTTAGCTGACTTTCAGCTCCATCAAATTATTTGGTTTGAACTAGATATCTTCTTTTATATGCCATCATATTATTTCTGTAGTTTTAGAGCAAATTCCATACGATTCCTTTAGAATTTTGTTTATAATATGTATTAGAAAAAATTCAAGCTCGACATCAACTAATAAAACAAATAAAAAGTATATAAATGAAGGGAAATTTTTATCTTATAAGCTGGTTTTTTGTAATGTTGAATTAGGTTCATAACCTATTTTCTAGGATGATATCAAAGTTACCATAGATCCGCTAAAAGGGTCACTCACCATTTATATATGCACCAAGCCAAATAGTGTTGTGCATGAGGGGTGTATTGGAGAAAACCAAGCTTGGCCTATCCTAGATCATTAAAAAGGATCACTTATCATTTATTCACTTATCAAGCCCAATAGTATTGGAAAAAACTCAAGTCGTACATTGGCAGGAGATATGACAAATAAAAAGTATATAAGTGAAGGACAA